TTCGACTCACCTCACATCAGCGGTCGAAGAATGCTCCCGTAAGGTTCGTGTGTTGAGCGATCAGTACACGAAGCTTCTGGCAGATGTTCGACGGCTGATTAGAGCGAAGAATTCCGCGCTTAAAACATACGACCGCTACCACACGGAAGCCAATAAACTTCGGGTGCGTTCTCTACAAAGCGAGATTAAACAACGAGAAGCCGAGTTTAGAAACGATAGCTGGGATAACCTCTTAGAAGGTATTGAACCATCTCAAGACGCCTTTTGGAAATTAACGATAGCTCTTAAAGCCGACAAATCCTCACCGATGCCGCTTCTCGTGAGGCTGGTCCACCCCGATCTCGCCCTAGACGATCTCGAAAAAGCCGAATCGATCTCGAAGAAACAGTCTAGAGTACCAGTGCACGCCATCCACTGTACCAATATATCCCGCTCACCTACTAGAGGTAGAAACGGAAGTAGAACGTAGGTCTGCGCTGCCACCAGCGGGTGAACCACTCGATCCTGTGACAGTAAATGAAGTCACCGAAACCATCAAAAGCCTTAAGAATAGATCAGCCCCTGGAACAGACGGCATCAGCAACAAGGTGATCAAATCCCTTTGGGCGCCACTTATTTGCCTCCTTGTAGGAATATTTAACACCTTTCTCACGAACTGCTCCTTCCCGAACATCTGGAAAGAAGCAGACGTAATAGGGATCCCAAAACCGGGTAAACCGCGTAATCGTCCCTCTAGTTACAGACTCATTAGCCTGCTCAACACATTGGGCAAATTATACGAGCGCATTATTCATAAGCGTCTCCGTCATTACACAGAATCTAACGGACTCCTCCCAGACGAATAGTTTGGCTTTAGAGCCAATCACTCATGCACCCACCAGATTCATCGCCTAACAGAATACATTCTGTCTGGCTTCAACCACAACCCAATAAGAAAAAAGGCTCGAAACACGGGAGCCCTCTTCTTCGATGTCGCGAAGGCATTTGACAAGGTCTGGCACGACGGCTTGATTTACAAACTGTACAAACTAAACGTGCCCGATAGGCTCGTGTACATCATACGAGCTTTCCTTTCAAACCGCACTTTTCGATATCGAGTGGAGGGAACCCGTTCTTCGCAACGCTTCCTCAAGGCCGGGGTCCCGTCCATCCGGGGCTCCGTCCTATCTCCACTCCTCTTCACACTCTTCACGAGTGATATCCCTAGCGACCCCGTAGTGAACACCGCACTCTTTGCCGACGATACGGCACTCTTTGTGTTAGACTATAACAAAAATAGACTCTCTATAAAGCTCCAAAAAGCGACCAATCGCCTTGGTGAATGGTTCCGCCTATGGAGAATAGACGTGAATCCCGAAAAAAGTGTAGCAGTATACTTTCAACGGAATTCAACAGCAGGTTCTAAACCCAAAACAATCTCTTTATACGACCGCCCAACCCCTTGGGAAAAATCGGCCAAATACCTAGGCGTCACGTTCGACTCCCGCATGAGTTTCGCGACGCACATAAGTGTAGTACGCAACAGAGTCAAGTCAATAATTGGCCGTCTACACCCGCTCGTTAACAGCAAGAGTAAGCTGTCGCTAAGACACAAGCTTCGGCTGTACAAAACCTGCATTATACCAGTTATGTCCTATTCAAGTGTAGCTTTCGCCCACACATATAAGACCCATTTTTTAAAACTCCAAAGAGTACAGAACTTTTTCATCCGAAAAGCCACCGGTGCACGGTGGTATCAACGGAACTATGATTTACACAATGATTGGGAATTACCATCTATCTCCGAATATTTTAAGGAGATGTACCAGCGCTATTTTGATAAAGTAGAAACCCACCCTAACCCGCTAGTGACAAACGCAGCTAACTACGTTCCGTTATCAAACGTTGCGCCCTATCTCCGTAGACCGCGAAATGTGTTAATAGAACCACCTCAACCGCTCGATCTATTCGACCCAAACATCGCAGGCACATCACACAACGACACTACACCCACTCTAGATGGGACAAACACTAATAGGACAACGAATGGGACGCGTCGCACCCACAGACGGGCACGACGCGTTCCAGCTCACACCGCATACACACCGTACACCCGCGTACCTGGATGGTTCTCACCGCCCAGACCATCGACCGAAACGAGCTGAGTAGTCAGAGACGGGGGTCCGCACTTCCCCCCCTCGGACTGCGGTTAGATAGCTCAAAGAAAAACGCCTAAAAGGCGACATGATGATTGGTAACAATATCAAATCATAAACCATTTCATCATCATCCTCACCTCATTGCCTTTCCCTTCTTCAATTAGCCCTGAGACAGATGAAGCTGTAAGAGTCGCATAGACTAACAGCACTAACATCTAGATAATAGTAGTGTCTATGTCTGTGTAATATTGTTTTAATTGTTGCGTGAGTTTCGTCACAGTATAAATATGTATATTCCTATATTAACTGTGGTTTCGTAATGACAGACGATTGATTTGAGTGCACAGTTTTCCCCTCGCAAATAATTACAGACAGATCTTTATCGGGGAAAAACGTTATGACTACTTCCTCCGGCCCACCGCCGGTGGCCCGTGTTGCGCTATATTGGCAGACTTTGAATATAACATGTATCACACGTGTACCATTTGATACCCATAAGCAGTTAAATTGTTTAATTTGTCCCGAATACTTGCAATTGTATTTTTATTAGTATAGTATATTTTTATTTTTATTTAATAATTTTCTTTTACATCGGTATCAGTATCGATATTAAAATCTTGATTAAACCGAAAATCCGATACATTTACGACAACCCTATTGGCAGAGTGGCAGTTCATTTCACAATGCTTCCATTGCTACGGTGATTGCCATATTTTCGGGCAATTCGACATCTTTTTAAGATATCGTTTTTATTTTTGCTTTAGACTTAAAGTTACATTAAGGTTATTGTAAACATTAGTTTTATTATTTTTGTCATCTAAGCTGTAGTTATTTTTTTAATGATGACGTCATCAAGTGTACTGACGGACTCGCTACCTTTATTAATCACAAAAATATTGTTGAACGCATAAATTGACTTTGGACTTTTTGCAAAGATTACATGTTTACGATTACTTTGACCTAATAAAAACAATGTTTTTCTTGTATTTTGATAGCTTACGAGTAAGTGAAACGGTTAGTACCTTAAAATATTTGTAAAAAAAAGCCTTTGTACTGCCCGTGCCGTGCGTAGAATAACTAACTTTGTATGAATTGGTAAAGTAAAGTAACATAAAATCTTTGGTAATTCAAATAAATCCAAACATTAGGAAGACAGTCCCTCGTAGCATTGCAATGGCTGACGTAAGGGTTATTGTGAATAAATATAATTGGAAATTGAGTAAGTAATCATAAAATATATTCGTATTTTATATACAAAACTGAGATGTTAACTTTGATAACTTAATAAAAAAGAAGATAATATGTTTGTGAAGACAATGTGAATTTGATGACAAGGCGCTTAATGTTAAATTATTTTCCGTGTTAGAGCTACGCTGCAGCTATATTATGGTTACTGTTACTACTGGTAGTACTAGTACAAACAGATTGGCGCGACCAGGGTGCATGACCATGCTGCTGTGTTTCCTATGGTGAATGTAGAGAACCGGAGACCCCTTTTACTGAAAACTAGTCATCCATCTCAGTCCTCAGGGGTGACAAAGCATCTGCGTTTTGATTTTTAAACGATAATAAATGTAGATGTCTATGAGCCACAGCATTCACTTACCATGTTGACTGTGTGGTTGTTTGTCACTCTTATTCTAGAAAAAAAATCATGTATATTTGAAAAAATCAGCAATTACTATTCAAAATTGTTGTCAAAATTCTAGTTTAATGAACAATCTCGTAAATTATTAATAAAAAAGTAAATAATAGTTATCTTTTCATGTTCCGGCAATGAGTACATTCACGACTTTTTCTGCCACCAGGGTGGCGCCACATGGAAGTAAGGTGGAATATTTAACAGGTTTTAAGTCAGGGAAAGTTAATTCATCAGGAAAATTAAGGATTAATGTTTCTTTTAAAAATATTCATTAAATGTTACATTAATTGGATAGAAATTAAAAAAATAAAATATGAATATTACAAAAATAAGAAAGATTAAAAAGAGAGTAAAATTATAAAAAAATTAATAGCAAACTACTGACGCATCGTTTTGTGTATTAACGTATTCTAGAAACCGATACACTTGAACCTTAAACTTTTCTATTAAATGAGATTGTGTAACAAAAACTTTACCTTCAGTCCCAACTAGCGACATCAGGTGAGCGAAAGATTATTATTATAGTCCTCATTGAAAGACTTATTATGTAATCAATAGCAATTTTGCCACCTAATACTTCCAGGTATATATAATGTACTCTGTGCCTGTGCCTAACACGGTAATTGAAAATTTGGTTCAGGCAACACTGATAGTTCAGTTTTCTGTCAGTTTATACAAAGGTACTCTGTGGTTTTCTGTCGGCTCGTGTTGGCTCGTGTCATGATAGATCATAGATTACTGACTATGTACTAGTGATAGATCGTGTTATGTTATTGTAATCACTCCTCTTGCGAGTTGATTCAGTGAAGTTTCTGTTTTTAAGTAATGTTTATGATATAAATCTTCAGAATAAAAAAATAGTCAGTATTCAATTTTAGCCTTGATATTAATATAATCTTATCCTTTAAGAGAATCTCGTTATTTGATATGGATTGACAACTTATCGTATGGCAAGTAGTTGCCACTGGAAGTGTTTTATTTGTGTACGTTTACTTTAGTGGAAAACATAAGTTACATATATATTTCACATTCTACTTGTGTGATGCACGTCGTTTCGATCAAAATTACTAATTTATAAGGTATAAGCAGTGTAATGAATGATAGGTGTGTGATGTGAACGTGGTGATTGGTATTGACTTAGTCGTAAATGTGAATGTAATTGTGATATCGCTCGCGTTTTGTGTTTCGAGCGACGATGTTTTACCTGAATTTCTCTGGCATTGACTATCAGCTGGTGAGTACCGATATGCTCTGTACATTTTACGTTTATCTTCGTATATTCTCGGTATTTGGTATTCTTCATATAATTTCGTTTTTGGGTAATTTCTTTATTTTTTGTTTTGAGCTTGCCCCAAGTGTAGCGATGATAATTTTTTGAAAATATTAAAAATATATTTCGTTGAAAATGTATCATATACCATTTTTCGATTACTTAGCGATTTTCTAATAAAAGTAATTAGCCAACTGCCAACAGTAATTTAGAACCAAATATTTACTAAGAAACTATCACATTAGGCATGTCCACAGATATATAGTATTTTAACATGCATTACTTTTATATTTTATTGCAACATATTTTCTTGACATGATATTTTTAAAATATCAGCTTGGTTTGATTGTATTTTAATACACATTATTTTGCATAAAAATTCAATTGTCTTGAATGTAATAGCATAAAACAAGCACAATCAGTTACAGTTTTATAATTTGAGTATTGTACTTTATCTAACCATATTATTACTAGTTAATTTTTAAATAATATCTTTCTATTCTATAGTTTTATGTGTGGTGTAGGATTCATCAAACTGTCATCCTTTGAGTGTTATACAAGTCAAACACTACCTAAGGTGGTGGTATAATTACCCTTTTCTTATATACTACATATTAAGTATACTGACTGGTAATAGGGAGCAGCCGTGTCATTGGATATTAAATGACATTTGCTGCAGATCCAACTTATGTTCTGTAAAAGTAAATGAATGTCGAAATAAATGAAAAGTAAACAAATGTAAAGTCAGCAAACTGTTTATGAGTTTGTTGAGTAAAAGAAGTAAATGCTCATTTAAAGGATTCTTTACAAAATAAAAACAATAATGATATACAAATGTAAGCAAGAATGAGGAAAGCAAGCCGTGTCTGTGATAATGATTAATACCAGTGTTTACTTAAGCCAGCAAGGCCTTGATAAGAGAATGTAATTTTCTTCTAAGCATAAATATCCTAGCAATAAATACACCATGTGACCTTAGATAATACCTAAAGAAGTTGTAAGTGATCCAGATTTTCCAAGTAATGCAGGCCAGTAGGCACAGGCCTTGTATACTGTAAATATTTCAAATATTACTTGTTTCATATTCATTTATAAAAGATTATTTTAATATTTATTATCAATATTAAAATAATGTTTTGCCATGTTGTAGAGGTGTAAGAATATCTCCTACGCCGTATCATCCCGAGGCTACTGTAAGAGGCCACAAAGGGAAATGAAACAGGAGATCGGCAGTAGCATCTTCCTGATAACAATTCAAAATAATAAAAAGCTACGGTTAAGTGTAAAAAGCTACAGTTGCTAAGCCGCTTGCCAAGCGTGGCAACTATGGCAAAATACTCCCATGATGCAATGTATGAAGGATGCCAATGTTCGGCAGTGGACTTTTATAGGCTGTAATGGATTGATGAATGTAATTATTGTTAATTAGTAGACATCAGATTTTATGTGTTTGCATATTTGCATATGCAAATCCATATAACTATCTAATTATGGCGTTAATGCATATTTTAGCCTTTTGTTCCAATCATATATGTATATATGCATATTTCGTTTAGTAGCGGGAAGTATGTATAGGAACCTAGACGACAAAGATGTGTAGGGCTCGCAGTGGCTAACTGAACTGTCCAAATTTACTACACATTAGCTGCTTAGCTCACAGATTTCATCGCCTTGCAGAAGAGATAAGGTAAGATAATGGGAATGTTAACAAATAGATTTCCTCTACATAAAAAGTGTTTTTAAAAGCATCATCACATGTGCTCTGTTACAAAGAAACAAATGTTAAAGACATTACATGAACAATGCATAGCGATTCAAGATGACCATCCCCACCAAATTGTCGTCATGAAATCACAGCAAGGCAATGGGCTCTTATGAGCCAAATAATTTATATTCTGGCAAATCTGTAAAGAGTTGAGCAAAAAAAATTATGCTTATATATTAAATCTTGCCTCTGATCCATTGGCCTTTTATTTGGCGAGAAGGTTTCCATTTTCTAAGGTTGAAAAAACTCACCCAAAATATTTTTCACTGAAACTATGTACAGTCGCCTCGGAAAAGCTTTTTTCAATGGCTGGGAACATCCAGACCAAAAAAATAAATCCTCTAAAATAGAAAATCTACCTTTATGTTTTTTAAATAAATAATTGACAGTTGTAAATTTTAATTATTAGAACAATTGAAAATCATCAAATAAATTAGTTTTTAATTACCATGGCATAGTAGGTTATATATTCGTATTCGTAAAAGTAGTATTCCTTGCATCACTGGTTATTGTCATTTTTCAACTGCCTTATTTTTGGTATTTTTTAGTTCTTAATTTATTTTTGGTTATGTTATGTATTAAGTATATTTTGTGATTTATAATGCATAATTTTACTCTTCTTGTGAAGCATTTTGTGGCTGCCTTAAATACATATAAAAATTAAGTTTATATATTATATTTGTGAACATGTTTTATTGTAATTACTTCTGGCTGTTCTTAAAGAAATAAATTAATAAAATAAAGCAAAGAAATCATTAGGAACAATTTCCATGGAGAAAAATAAGGAGTTTCAATGGAAGCAAATAGGACATTTAACAGATCGTTGGATTTTAGTATTTGAGTAGTGCCTTATTTATTTTATTTTTTTCTTGATTCTTGTAAAATTTAATGTACCTAGTCTTTTAGCAAGTTACGGAGAAAATAATTACAAATTATTAAGAACAATGTACATTATGTTTTTGTATGTTTTTAGCATTTACAACAATATAAGGCAGTGATGCATAGGCTTATTAAGACTAGGGGCCACTCGGGCAAATTATGAACTGATGGCGGGCCGCCAGAAGTATAGGTAATTAAAGACAATAAAGAATTGATAATAATGTATTCAAATTGAAAAAGAATTTATTAATTTGATGCATGGCACTGCATAGTGCTTACAATCTTTTTTATATTTGGCTGAAATTTACTTGTTTGTACATACTTGTTAATTTTTCAGCCATTTTCTTATAATTCGGAAAATAATTGTAATTTCCAGAATTCAATTGCGATCTGAAAAGTATCAGCTTGGATTGAAAGGATGGTACATGAGCGTAGAGCTGGGATATCAGTCGATTTCGTTTTGAATGTCGATAATTTCTAACTGCATTGACTCTGGCGCATTTTCAACTGAAATTGTGAAAGGATTGCTGAATATGTCCAACAGAGGTTTCACTTTTTTAAACTCCGAAAATCTGTCCTGAAAAGATTGAATCAAAATATCTAGCTTTTCTACATAACTGAAATTAATCGCAGTTTTGTTGAATTTTTCAGCCATTTTCTTATAATTCGGAAAATAATTGTAATTTCCAGAATTCAATTGCGATCTGAAAAGTATCAGCTTGGATTGAAAGGATGATACATGAGTGTAGAGCTGGGATATCAGTTGATTTTTGCCTTGAAGCCTTGTGTTCAAGACATCCAAATGATTTGTAATATCAACTAATAAAGTCAAATCACACAACCAATCAGGATTTTTAAGTTCCGGGACATCCCTTTGCTTTTCTGCCAGAAATATTCCAATTTCTTCTATTAAGTTTAGAAATAATTCCAGTGTCAATCCACGACTTAGCCACCTTACTTCTGTATAATACAGTAAATCTCCATATTCGATGTCATCAAGGAATTGTTTGAATTGCCTGTGATTGAGTCCTCGTGATTTTATGAAATTTACAGTCGAAACTACCACTTTCATGACATTTTGAAATTCAATTTTTATAGAACAGAGGGCTTCTTGGTGTATAATGTAGTGAAACTGCATGAGATCTTCAGCGTTTATGTTTTTTTCTTGCAGATGCTTTTTCAGCAAAGTAACTAGCCCAGAATTGACACCAATCATCGAAGGAGCACCGTCAGTCGCAACTCCTGATAATTTTGATAAGTCCAAAACAGTTTTTGAACACTCATCCAAAAGTACATTGAGTATATCAACTCCTCTGGTTTGACCTTTCAATGAACACATTCCTAATAACTCTTCTAAGACTTTAAAATCTTGGGTAACACCTCGTATGAATATCAGAAGTTGAGCTGTGGAACTAATATCAGTGGATTTGTCGAGTGCTAATGAAAAAAATTCAATGATCTTAGTTTTTTCATTTAATTGTTCCGCAATATTACCTGACAAAGACATAATTCGTCTTTGGATAGTCATATGATTCTGTTGAATTTTCTCAAACTTTTTTGCTGCTTCTGGACACATTTTCTTAGCGGCAATTTCTATGCATTCTTTTACAAAATCCCCATCATTGAAGGGGCGACTTCGCTTTGCTATCATTCGAGAAATTTCATAACTAACTTCTGTTGCTGTTTCTGAATCTTGAATGGGTTTTGTAAACATAGCTTGCTGCCCAATAAGCTCCCGTTTTAAAGCCAACATTTTTTGCTTTCTTAATTCGCCTGTAAACTTGATAAAAGTAGGATGCTGCGTTTCATAGTTCCTTTTTACATTATATTCCTTTGCAATCGCAACAGAATTCTTGCAAATTAAACAAACGACTTTGTTATGCGACCATACAAAAAAGTATTTCTCAGTCCAAATTTCTTGAAACTGCCGATTTTCATCTTTAACCTTACGTTTTTTACTAGGTCCTGGCATGTCCATGTTGCGTTCTCATCCTGGCTAGGATTAACACAGCACCTAAAAACAATTACAGTACCTACTTAAATTACCCATCCTTTTTAAATTACCAAAAATAATTAATTAAATAGGTAGGGAAACACTTATTAATAACAGAGTTTTACTTACGATTTCATAACACAATTATACACGGCACTTGACGGGAAATCTACGTTGAATGTGGATCAAAATATATGACACCGGCTAGTTGAGTTAAAATCTACACTAGAACTATTGACACTTCACTCAAATTAAAACCGAACTGTGGGTCGCTGCGGTTAGCGTGGTTTTTATACCGCGTATAGAGTCGAAAACTGTCTGGAGAAA